TCGACCAGTTGGGGAAGCTGCGGGTGCTCTTGCGCGAATTCTCTGATATTTTTAGCAAGGGTAAATTTGATATTGGACGCATGTCGCTATTGAGTCACCACATTGATACGGGTGATGCGGCCCCTATCCGGCAGAATCCGTACTGGCTGAGCCCGGCGGAAAAGGAACATGTTTGGCTAGCGGTTGATGAGATGTTGGCCGCTGACATCATCTCACCATTCACCAGTCCCTGGGGAGCTCCGATTTTGCTCGTGATAAAGCACGATGGTAGCTTATGATTTTGCGTCGATGTTCAGAAGCTTAATAAGGTTTCTGTTGTGGATGCGTATCCCCTGCCTCGCATGGATGATTCGCTGGATGTGTTGGTGGGGGCACGTTTCTTTTCTGCCCTTGATCTCCTATCTGGGTTTTGGCAATTGCCGCTTGACGATGTCTCGAGACCTAAGATGACCTTTCGTACGCCTCAGGGATTGTTTGAATTTAACCGGCTTCCCATAGGGCTCCATTCCCCGCCAGCCACGTTCCAAGGTTTAATGGAACTGGTCCTGGCAGGTCTCCAGTGGGACTCGTATGTGATATATCTCGATGATGTAATTGTCTTCAGCCGCACTTTCGATGGACATTTGGTCCGCCTGAGTGCTGTATTTCTCAGAATGCGGGTGGCTAACCTTAAATTAAAACCTCAGAAATGTCAGCTCCAGAAATCGGTTCGGTATCTTGGCCACATCGTTGACAAATCGGGCATTGCAACCGACCCGGAGAAGATTGCGTGCGCTCGAACTTGGCCAACCCCCACCTCGGTGACTGAAGTCTGCAGTTTTATCTTCTTCACTTCTTACTATCGCCAGTTTGTTGCCGGGTTTGCATCAATTGCTAAATCCCTCCATGTGTTGACAGCTAAGGGTCATAAGTTTCATTGGGGGGAGGTGGAGGAGGCTGCATTTCGTGCTATCCGCGATGGGTTTGTGAACGCCCCTCCCCTACATTATCCGGATTTTTCATTGCCGTTTATCCTGGATACGGACGCTAGCAATACCGGAATTGGAGCCATCTTGTTGCAGGTCGTCGACGGGGTGGAGAACGTTGTTGCGTTACATGCCGTGAGTTGCTAGCCATTGTGGTTTTTATGCAGCAGTATTGCCCCTACTTGTACGGGAGCCTTTTTGAGGTGCGTTCCGATCATGTGGCGCTCCAATACATGCTGCAAGTGGATCAGCCGTCAGACCAATTGTCGCGCTGGCTGGAGATCCTGCACGACTTCTCATTCCATGTTATGTACCGCAAGGGTACTCGCCATACGAACGCAGATGCCTTGTCGCAACTGCCGACGTCTGAGGCTTGTGTGTGTTTCTCGGGTTCTGGGTGCTGTAAACTGACCGATGTGACTTCACCTCTTCCTCTTGCGGCATCTGCCGATGCAGCAACAGGCGGGACGGCCGCTGGTCCGGGCGCTCGAGACGCGGTCATTGGTCTAGATTACATGGAATGGGGATGCATTCAGGTGGAAGACGCTTCATTACTCAAGTTGCGCCATCTTGTGAGGGAAGCTGATGGGGGCACGGATCGACGTGGCGTCAACTCGGTGGTTCTGTGGGGCGGCTTGCTCATGCATTAGGATGAAGGGCTTTGCCATTATACCATTGTTGTCCCCACCACCCTGCGAGGCGAGGTTGTTTGGGCTGTGCACGAACGTTTTTTGCACCTGGGCATGCAGAAGACGCTGGCCACACTCTAACGTGATTTTTATTGGCCGGCCATGTCTGCGGACGTGGAAGATTTGCTTAAAGGGTGTGTGCGGTGTGATTGGCGAAAGCCCCGGTTAAACCTAGCCGACCCCCCTTGCAATCGATTCAGGTATCGCTCGTCAATGAACTCGTTGCTCTGGACATACTTGGACCGTTTCCCACTACTTCTCGGGGGAACAAATACCTGCTTGTGGGGGTCGAGTATTTTTGATGATGGCCTTTTGCATGGCCGCTCCCTAACCAATCAGCTGTGACTATTATGGAAGCATTGCTCAATGGTTACGTTATGGACAAGGGCGCTCCTGAACGCCTTTAGACCGACCAGAGCAATAATTTTTCTTCTAAATTGTTACAGGAGGTCTGCGTTTTGTTGGGAACAAAGAATGTGCGCACGTCGCCGTACCACCCGCAGACCAATGGCATGGTCGAACGGCTACATAGGACTTTGACCTCCATGTTGAGCCACCAGGTCAATGAATCACAACTTGATTGGAATTTACATATCCCCGTGGTCTTTGCCGCTTACAGGATGGCCCCGCACGCGTCCACTGGCTACTCGCCGTTTTTTTAATGTATGGAAGGGAATAAGACCCCCTCATGAATGTATAGTTACAGGCCACGCCAACGAAGCATAAATCTAAGATTTCTGACTCCATTTGCTCTACTCTTCAGAAGCTTTCCGAGGCGTGGCAGGCCTCCAGGGTTAATTCGTAGTCCCGACAATTGGCCAACAAACGGCTTAAGGAAGTGTGTACTTCCCTGTATGAATGGTCGCCGGGGGACAAGGCCTGGTTGCACTGTCCCCAGGTGCCGGTAGGCACATCACCTAAGTTACTCCACCCTTGGCAGGGGCCAGTCGATGTTGTCTGAGTTGTTCAACCACAGTTGGTTCGTGCATCCCTCTCACCTGAAACCGTTTATCGTGCCACGTGAATTCGTTTCATCTCCACATCGCAGGGGCCGAGTGTTGATTGTGTCCGACGAACCGGGGTGTGTGCCCACTGAGGTTGATCCTCAGCGGAGCGATTCTGTTCCGCCCGCAGGTGCTGCATGATTGACGTCCCCTGAACGGCCACGCATGCCGCCTTCACAGACTTTGAACACGGAGGATTCGTCACCATGGTTTACTACTCTTCATGAGGAGCCGGGTTCGGCGGAACATTTATGCATTCCTCCCGGGTCTCCTGGGGGCCCGGCATCACGGATTCGCTCAAAAACTCGTTTTTCGTGATTCCCTTGCACACACGCTCCCACGCTGTCAGTTGCTTGTCACGCACATTGTGTCATGGCGGTCATTGGCTGATCCTGGCCGCCATTGAGCTCACGTGCGTTGTTACACGGTGAAGGTGGGAGGTGTGGTGGTGGTGGGGATCCCGAGGTTTCACGCGTTTTTTAAAATATATTATTGTTGGAATGGTGTTTGTTGGTTGACACCCTTCTCTTCTCCCTGTTGGTTTGTACATTTGTAAATAGTGTAATTTTTGTACAGGTGGGTTGGGGTATTTTTTTTCTTGTTAACTGATGAGGCACACTGTTTTTTCTTGCATTTCACTTAAATTGCTTGTTGCAGGGATGTCACTGTATGGTGCTGGTCTGAGAGGACCATGGTACGCGATGCACTGTCATCAAATACACCCTGTGAGCGGGTGTAGTACCAGCCCTAGCGGGGCTTGGCGAACGCTGGATAGCGCGGGCACCACGCATAGCGTGTGGTGGGGGCTCCCACGAGGGGGAGCGGGAGAGTGTCAACCCAAGGGCAGGGTTGCCCCGGGCCATGGCACTCTGGTTGACCTTGCAGACACGTGATCTACAGCAGGAAATGCATATGGAAGATTTTGAGATCGCGGTGATATATTAATAATGGAGAGGGCCAAAGTGAGCATTCTGTGCATAACAATAATTTTCTTAATTGATGGACTTGCCATTTCAGGAGTGAATAAAACGAACAATGATGAGATATTGTACATGGAAAAGGGAGTACATGGGAAAGGGAGTCCATTTCTCGCACCTTCGATTAGCGCGGTTGGTTATGTATGGTGAAAGAAGTTCGACATACATGGTATTGCGATCAATATATACGTAGATAAAGTTTCATGGAAGCGATCGTCATTCTACAGTTTACTGAAACACATGCAGCACGGTATTTTTCCACATTGCTTCCAGCTCAATTACAATGAAGGTTTTGCACACGGCAAAACACGTTGTAATTTCCAGTCGTTATCCATACAAATTAAAATGTGATAACTGTACCTGTGTGCATGGCCAATTTTGCACACAAATTGAGCAAGCGGTGCATCCCCTCTGCAAGATGGCATGCTCATTTTCTAGCATTCCTTGACCTTGATGGACTGATGAGTATTTTTCCATCCCGCCGCCATTTTCGGCTGTTCTCTGTCAACTGCTGTGTGAAGGCCACCAATGAGTGTGGCAGTCATTACCATTAATATCTCAGAGTAGGATGCAAATGTGTTGCTTTCACCCAGTGACAAAGTAGGGGTGATGGCTTTTGTCCTGCGGAAGCGATGTGTGTTTTTGTCGCCAACTATGTCTGCAAATATGTATTTGTGAACATATACCTTGGGAGTAACTGATAAATTAGATCGAGTTTTGCAAAATCAAAACATCAAAGTAAGATTTGGCATGGTACACAAAATTCAAAAACTCAGTATCTTGTACTAAAGATGAATTGCCTAAGTTATCAACAAAAGGTGTGTATCAGATCAAGTGCTTATGTGACAGGTGCTATATTGGACAGACGGGACATAACATTATCATAAGACGAAAAGAACACCAAATAAATATAAAATACTCTCAAACACAACTGTCGGCAGTTGCAGAACATGCTTGCCAACAAGGACACTCAATTGATTTTGCCCCGGGGCAGACCACGTCTGACATGGACATGCACGATTGAGGCTGATTTTCGACACCACGGCCTTGGCATACATTCAGCGTGGCGGCTCGCGCAGGATAGGATTGCCTGGTGGTGGCTCATGGGAACTTCTACGCCCCGAGGGGCATGCACATTATGATGATGATGAGAAGGTCGTGTGGCTGAGGGAATGTGATTTTTTTAATGTCGAGGGACAAATATGTGAGGGAGGTGCATGTTATTTATTTTGTTATTTATTAGTGTGTTTAGTTGTGTTATTTATGCTTGTGTACCACTACTAATTGTAGTATCACAGTTATCTGTGAATACCTGTCTTGCTTTTACTAATGCGGATGCGGTGCCTGCATCTTTGTCTGATGCAGGTGTATGAGGCTGTGCCATGCTACAGCGACTGCGCTCTGTACACGTGGGTGTCGGACCCATGGGAGGTGTGCTCGGTCCCACTGAGCGGCGTGTGTGGAGAGGGAACTCAAACAGCGTACAGTCAGGTACGTTTCCTTTGTATGTGTGAAACAAAGCCATGCTGAGTGGGCCAAGGGAGCCAAGTGACCATTGATCACAGAGTTTTATTTTCTCACCTGTTTCTTACCTATATTTGTGTAATGGCTAGTGATCTGGACTGGCAATCCAGAAGTTACCGGTTAAATTTCCAGGCGAGGCAGTTGAAACAATGAGTATTTCTTAAATCCTCCCACCTTTGTCAAACCAAGATGTGTGGCCAGCATGCAAGAGTAGGTCAAGCTACTCACATTATCAAGTAATTAGAGGGCTGCACCTTTACCTCTTTAACCAATTAGTATAATACTATTGTGCTATTGAAGTGATGCCATAAGATAAATACACTTTTATCTTGGTATTACATATCAGGGTATGGGCCAGGAAAACGACTCCACTGAACTACTTCTGAATAAGATTGAACAGCCTCGCGTGTGAAATACTGGAAAACGCTCATATATCTCATTCCTGTCCTCTAACGAGTGTAGGTCACATGTCACTTTAACTGAGATGTTATATCTTATTCAACACTGAATATTCAAAGTGTAATGAGGGACTGCCATCCAGGGGATACCAGAGGGTAATGGGTATGGGCACGATGATGTCATCGGGATCCAATCCTAAGGGGGAAAATGATCGGGCCGGTGAGGCCTTCGGGAACCCTCGAGGAGGTTCCCTGAGGGGGTGTGGCCAGAGGCGGGGCTTAGCTCCGCCAAGGGAGATATAAGGGAGATTGGGGGGAAAGTTCGGGGTCGGTGTGGAAGCCTGGGTTCCGGACTGCGGCGCTGCCTTTCTCCTCGCCACGGGCCACGTGGCAGATCTTCCCTCGAAGCTCGCCTCCGCTTCCAGCATGCCGTTAGCCAGCGGCGAGGCCGGGAGAGTGTAGTGAGCCTTGCGGGAACACTAAGAGAGAGAAAGAGAGGCGCCTCGTCCACGGGTTGGGAGAGTGAAACCATTGGGAGGGGAAGTGAAGCTGTGCTGTACCATTGTGAATAAAGAAGCACCCAACAAGCATCGTCGTGGAAATACTTTATTAAAAAAGTAAGTAAGCTCAAGCTACATTTGATCAAAGATCAAAGTAAAGTCAAAGTATATCCCAGTTGAATTGAGCAATGAGGTGATAAATCCCTCTACCAGCAGCCCTGAAAAGGTATCGGCAGCTACACATTCCCAACGTGGCCAATGGTACCTGAGGGCAGCGGAGCCAAGCCCTGTTGCCCGCAACCCAGACGTGTCCGGGTGCGCAGAGGCCCCGCATTGACTATTTGGCGCGAATTTGAATTTTCCCTCACTGCCTCCCGTGCTTCCGTCAATTTCTGAATATTGAAGTGCATGTGGTCCGAAATCAGAAATTTGGATTTGTTAGATATGACCCAGAGCTGCACATCAACGGGTGGGTCGACATTCCTGCCATACATTAAAAAGAACGGCAAATGGCCAGTTGCCGCGTGAGGGAATTTGTAAATTCCAATCAAGTTGCGACTTGATAACTTGATGGCACAGCATGGAGGTCAATGTCCTGTGCAGATGTTGCACCATGCCGTATGTCTGGGGATGGTATGGTGACGTATTAATTTTCTTCGTACCCAACAGGACGCATACCTCCCGTAACAAGGTGGAATAAAATGTTTTCCCTTGGTCGGTCAATAGACGTTCCGGGGCACCCTTGTCCAGGACATAGTCGTGGAGAAAGGCGTCGGTGATGGCCGCCGCCGACTGGTTGGGGAGCGGCCAGGCCACAGGCCAGTGTGAAAAATATTCCACCCCAACCAAGTACTTATTGCCCTGGGGGTTGGCGGGAAAGGGACCAAGGATGTCCAAAGCGAAGAGCTCATTAATGCGGGACACCTGGCTGCTGACATTTGGGCTACGCCCATTTCAAACCCTTATAAACAATTTTCCTTGGAAGCTAACTCCCCTTTTCCTGAAGATGACCGCTTGCGTTGCGATCGAAACGTCGTAGTTTTCTGTTATTTTTTATTATATTCTTTGAAACTATCTACGTGACTTTATCGAAAGACCTAAGCATTTACTTCTCTACCCTGGTCAGTGCAGGTTGCTAAAATAGTACTCAGGACTGATCAGACATTTCTCGCCACGAACTGATCACTCAGTCCTGAGCCACCAAGTCCAAATGTGCCTCGTGACTTCATAAAGGTTTCACCGGGTCGAGTGTGAGGGGAGCTGGCCTAGATCTACAAGCCAGGGTAATGCTTGCCTTGCGGGGATCGGGGCTCATGCGGCACTTGCAAGAGCAATGCAGCTTTATCCAAACTGCTGCGTGTGCAGCGGGTGATTGTCAGTTCTCGGGATTCATATCTCACTGCAGGATACAGTTCGTCATTACGACATAGATGCACGAATTCAGGAAAGCGCTCAAAAACCTGTTTTTAATCTAAGCAACTTTAATAATACTTATTCTAACATCAAACTTTTATCATCAGAATACCGACAACAGTACCCATGCAAATATACATACTCATCAATCCGTACTAGATGATCATAAAAGCATCAATGGTCAAATCTCACGTTGACGTGGTTAAACCAGAACAATAGGCAACACCTCAAAATGGCAATATTCGCACAGAATGTGTTCTCATCAAATGCGTATCAAATAGTTAGAAAACGTCAACGATTGGATCTCACAATCACGTTACAAAAAAAACAATAGGCTATCTCATGGAAATGCGACCTTGCACAATTCCATTGTCATGGGGTGTGAGGCATGCAAGCTGAGATTCTTCTTGGCCCACAACCTGTGCAAGGTACACTTAAAAATAGTGAGTGAGTGTAAAGTTAATGTTTCTCCTTTCTGAACAATACATCAAGTCCCACAACGATGTGTAGAGTGGCGAGCTTGGTCCACAGTTGTCGTGCTATCGCCCTGCTAATTGCTGCTCCTTCGCACTGTTGTCTGTGTATCATGCTCGATCCACGCTGGAAGCTGCTCGGGGCTCCCGAGTTAGCACGCTCGTGGTCAGCCGTGAGCTGTTGCGCTGCACGTTTGCACGCCAGGCTCGATCTGCAGTTGGAGTACTCTGTGGTCACGCTGCTCCTTGTTCCTTGTCAGCAGCTGCCTGCTTCGCGCGAGCACCTTTGGTGCCCCCCCTCCCTCAGAAGGTTTCCTGCTGTGCACTGCTCATCAAAACTCTTATCAGCAGAGTATCAGTCACTTGACCTACATAACTTTTCCAGTCTATAGCTTGGACAGCATTTCATGCACACTCGATATTGGTGTATAACTAAAATCTCCACTTAACTTCTCAAACGTCTTAGCTGATCACAGTATTATATGAAAAAGGCATTCGCACACCTCTTAGCTTCTCACAACTCTTAATTTAGTACAATACATATTCTCAAAGTCCTTGACTCTGCAAGCAACTCAACACACAAGGAAAAACGTAGAATAAAACTTTAAGTGATACTGAGTCTGTCACCGCATAACTGAACACTTAGCGATACAGAGCCTTTGCCTCTGCAAAACTCAACACTTGGCACTTCATGGTTGATTTCGAGGACCATGCCCCAGAGTTTGCCTCAGCAAGACTGACTTGTATGATTTTTGGTGCTGTCTACATAGGATTTATAGCTCATGTGGTTAATTACCTATGGTACATTATGACCCAACATCCTCCTCTCATCTTTGCAAATGTAGTGCATCCATAGGTTCAGTCTGAGTTCATCCCTGGTTCTGGCTCCACAGACATCCTGGCGCCTGATGAGGTTATGAGCGCAGTTTGATTGGGGCAAGAGCGCACAAGCGTGGTCACCACATCTACGCCTCTATATAAGGAACGAAACAGTTAGACTTCTCCACAAATCTGGCTGTCACCTGATGAAGCTGGTCATGATTACTGGCAAAATGTCGTACTCAGATTGCAAATGTTGTGGCTTGGCTCTCCAACACACCGGTGTGCTGTCCTAGTGACGAATTGGCATGTTCTCTTTACATGACAACCCTTACTAGTTGGCTGTGTCGGGTGGTGGGGGGTTTTAACGACACATTTATATATACTCTTAGTTCTTTCGGTAAAGTCACTTAGGTAAAAAATGAAATTGAAATTAATAAAAATAAAACAATAAAATCACGACGTTTCGGAGGCAACACAAGCTTCCGTCCTCAGGTGAAACTGTCCCAGCAAAATATCTGTATCAAGTGAAGAGAAGTCCCAAGAGGCACGACCTTATATACTGATCAAGGGGGGAGGAGCCAGGAAGGGCCGCGGGAGAGGAGTTGTGAGATGGTCAGTACTGCTGCTGGAACTGAGCCTTTGTAATGTAGATGGCATAAGTAGATAAGCCAGCTAGGATTAAGCTGCCTTTTGTTATGCTTCTGGGTGGGTAAAATTAATTAAATACGAAAAGGAGAGTACTGTTAAACGCTGGGGATGTTAACACTCGGTAGAGTAAAATAGTGCCTGTCAGATAAGATGGTCCAAAAATGAGTAGTTAAATCTTTTTTGCATGGTTGATAACATCTTTCCAATGATTACTAAGTTTGTACCCATCATCACGGTGGAAATTATGTCTGTGTTTGTATATCTGAATGGCTTCGTGTACAAACCTTTGATGGTAGCCATAGGGTTTGCAGAGCACCTTAGTCTCGGAGAAAACAATATTATGAGAGCCCACCACGTTGTAGCAATGATCGGCAACGGCGGAAGACTCAATTTTGCCGTGTTTCAAATATATTTACGCGATCTAACCCAAACAACCTCTTATGAATCAACCTCCAGATGCCGAGTCTCTTTTGTGTGAGGGCGAAGCAGCAAGGGGTGCTCCTTTGGCCTTGTTGTCTCAAGGGAGGAGTTCATAGGCCTCCATTACTGTGTTTTTTTAGAACGCGCTAAATCCAGGTATATGAAAAAAAAGATAAGTATTACATTAAAAATAGACAATATCACTGTTAATATTATTTTTTGGAAATGGCATATATACAACACTCAGAGGAGGGAATGTGTGTACATTTCCGTCTCGAGCAACAATACTGTGTGTTGAGGTAACGTGTTTACCGTTACAGAGCGATATTTTACAACAACTATCATGATAATCATCAGCAGTAATTATCCCTCATAATCTTGCAATGTAACAATCCATCTAGCCGCGTGCACATGAACTGATCTTTTGATTGCACCATCTCCATGATGGACATCCTTTCGTGTGTGTCCCCTCCTTCGGATGCCACTGTCGTTAGTTGCAACCATGGGCCAACATCTTTTCTTTTCACAAATCCTGCCAAAGTCCTCTTACTCTCCTTACCAGTCAATATGACATCTCTAATTTGCACATGTACTCTCATGTGTTCATATTTTTGTCTCTCACTCTAATTATACTGGTCTACAATCTTTTAGACGTCGTCTGCTTCAGAGATGAAATGTGCTATTTATTATGGATTTTACGTGCTGAATTCAAATGTGCCAATTAAAACAACTGATTGGCTACTGTTCCCAAGATATTACAATTTTTACATTTTACTATGTATATTGTATAGATAGTAGAGTTTTACTCTTAAATTGTAGCATCGCTACTTTTCTTTAGCATAGACCAGTTTGGGATTCTTGGCCAAGTATTTTACACCGTTGGAGGAAAACAGGTTATTCAGAGATAAATACGCATTTTAATGCAAAATAGGTCTACAGCTTACTTGCAGTACTGCATTCTGATGGCCTCCGTGTACTCTGCAGGTTTGAAATTATTACCCACATGAAAGTGATCAACAACCATTCCTCCAGGCATGCATCAACTATGTCAATTATGTATGTGTGTGTGTGTTTATGTCGCTCATGCAGCTGCAATGGCTGCCTTGGGTACACGATCCAGACCTTGTCAGTGGTGTGTGTACACCCAAGACGTCATTCAAACTCATAGTGGCCTGGTCTCAGCTAGCTGATGAAAGTTGCAAGCAAGAATTCCTTCATCGCTTGCAGTTGGGGTTGGCATTGTCCCCCACTCCTCCTGATGTCGAGGGGAAATGGGCAAGGTTTAGAAATTTGGCTCATGCAGCTGCGATGGCTGCCTTGGGTACACGGTCCAGACTTCCCCAGAGACCCTGGCTGACAGAGTATGTGTTCAGCATTCCACGTCAGAGAATGAGGAGGCTTACCGCAGCCTTCGCTCAGAAGTTTGGAGAGACGTGAGACACTGCAAAAATGGGTGGTGGTCGCGAGTTGCTGAGGAGATGGAACCTGCCTAAGTTGCCCTCGATCACAAATCACTCTTTAATTCCATCAAAAAAGTAACCTGCAGCGCCACACCTATTACCATAATTAGGGGAAAGAACAGTGATCCAATCTCCAACCCCCAGGAACAGGTTCACAGATTTGCTGAGCATTTCTGTGAGGTCCTAGGGAGGGGAAATCCTTCAGCCTGGAAAACAACGTGGCACAAAGTGGGGATGACCCTGCTGAGGCTGCAGTGCCTGAAATATTGGAAGTAATAGTCACCCCCTGTGAGTTGCTGGATGAGGTGCCATCTGTTGAGCAACTACTGAAGGCGATCCAGAGTCTGAGACCAGGAACGGCACCGGGCAGTGATGATCTCCCAAGCGAAATGCTGAGGGGGAGGGTGGCGCTTCTGCACAGACATTGTAGGGGATAATGTTACTTTGTGGTCTCTTTCAATCATGTAATGTGTACTTATTTTACACATTTGGCAAGTTTATGGATGCTAAATATCCCATGACAATTACACTCATGGGATATTTAGCATCCACTGTGAAGCAGGTGGAGCAAATGTATGACTAAAAAGCATACAGTAATATTCAGGGCGGCCGCAGGACACAAATCGCGAACCTCTACAGCAAGAGGCAATGTCAAACGTCACCAGCACTTGGTCGGGTTGTAATTGTTGTAATTGTGTGTGTGTGTGTGTGCGCACACACTGCAGGTGTGAGGTACAGGGTGTGGAGGGCCCGGGCACACCTGTGGAGGACGTGTGGTGCAACCCCACGGAGAGACCCCAGGATGCACGAGCGTGTGTGCTGCAGTGCCCTGGAGAGTGTGTCATGTCTGAGTGGGGGCCCTGGACCAGGTGCCCACAGGTAACCAACTCAATGGCCCAAATATTGTGCCTCTGTTTTCCCTCCACTCCTTCAACCCCGAAACCTCTACTTTCCCCAAACCTAACCCAATTTTACTCCACTCGCATCCCTCACTGTCCTCACTTCCCACGTATAAAAGCACAGAAGTTATGTTGAAAACATCTCGCCTTAATAACTTGTAGATAAAGGTATAACCTTGAACTTGCTTACATACGCAGCTACTGCTGAGAGGGCCTCCATTTGAGAGAACTCGAGAGCCCCTTCCAAGAGGGAATTTGGCCTACTCTTCAACGCTCACCAAACATTTTAGAAACGGTCGGATTACCCATACCTCACCCCCACCACACATGACCTGCAGGTCAACTGGTGTGTACCCATTTATACTGTTGGGTCGACACAGATGGAGGAATTTTTGTTTTACCAGCGTGGTGCTGGAAGAATGAACCATTGACCTCGGGATTGCAAGTCCAGTATACTAACCATTACCCCATTGCAGCACCCCTCCTTATTTTCTTGGTTATTTGTTGATAGACTATAATAATTACCAGTTACAATGATGATACTCTGGTTCTTTCGGTAAAGTCACGTAACCAAATGAGCAGAAAAAACCCTTCCTTGCCATATCTGTCTCTTGACATTTAAAAAACTTCTTTTTTACACATTCCATCAGCCACAAATACTTCTGAGAGGGCATAATTTTGGCAGTATTTGTTCAATAAGCAAACTCAGGACTGGTTTTGCATTCGTTGTTTCATCAGCATAGTAAGGCTTCATTATACCAATGCTAGTGAACTCATAAATGGGGCTTAGTTTAAAGCACAATACAAAATAATAATTTGCATTGTTGTAGAGAATATAAGAAAAAAATAAGCAGACAACAAACCTCATTCCCATTATAGGTCCCTGTACGTAAAGAGAGACCTTGGCTACCCAAGCATTTAAAAAGCAGATACAGAAGGAAAAAAAGCAGTGCATTCATTACAAAAATGTGTTTTTTTGTGCAGTGCATTCATTAGAATGTTTTTTTTCCCCACCTGATGAAAGACGCTTGGGTTGCGCCCGAAACATCGTGATTTATTTATTTTTATACCTACGTGACTTTACCGAAAGAACCAAAGAGTATGGATTCCTGTACTCACGAAAGCTTCAAATCAAGATAGAACACATAGGCTTTCGCGACCAATATCATCCGTAATACAGGTTTTTTGGGATAGATCCCATATATATATATACACGTGTCGTTAAACCCACCACCACTAAACACAGCCATTTAGTAAGGTTTGTCACGTAATCAGAACATGCCAATTCGTTACGAGTACAGCAACTTGTCATCTTGTTACAAGGTTTAGAAGGTAGGTGTTTCTCAACTCGTAGAGTTATTCTGTCTCTCCTAGTAGTGCATGGGTTTTGTCTGGGCACAAATATTTACAAAAGAAATTGGTCGAACATCCCAAGATGCATTTTCACAGCTTATTAAAGAAAATACTTAAAAAGTAAATAGCAGTATAAATACAAAGGAATGTGGGTAAACAAAATTTTGATGAAAATAATTTGGCTAGTTTTTGGCATCAAACTCATACGAAGTCATTATTAGAGTTATTTTTTACACTAAACGCATGTATAATCCATTTCGATTGTGCACTGAATAGATACAAATTATTAACAGGAATAATGGTGAGGAATAATATTGTGAGAACCTACACGGAGCTGAATTTTTCAGAATTTGTTCGAATTACATGTAGAGAATTAGGTAACTGAATTTTTATTTCAATCTTAAGCACCATCACCATAGTGATTCCAGTTTTATCGGGGCAATAATTAGCATATCCATTATTCTGTTTTGTGTCTTTGCATTAAAGTCACAAACTTTTGGACGGAAAAAAATATATTGTTGACAGAGATTAAAGACCATCTGATTCACGATTTAGTGGTAACATAGTCACAGTGTATGTTTAATGATTTGACACACTTCTAAATTGGCACTTTATTGAAGACACATTCACTTGACACAGGCAGAGACCCCACTGCAACAGCCCAGAGTCTCCCTTATATACCAACTGAGGTCACGCCCCACTTCTCCGAACCTTCTCGCTGACTCTGGACGCTCGCTCAACCGGCAAACTCTACCATCCTCTTCTGCCACTTGATCATGCTCCTAGTCTCGTTGCACTCACAACTGATACCCCTGTCATTATCTCCCGTGGCCACTAGTGCATTTGCACTGTAGGCTGACTCCCCTGTCATTACCTCCCGTGACCACTAGTCCACTCACACCGCATGGAGGCTCTACTGTCATTACAGATGTATGAAAAGTCCAAGGAAGAAGGGTGAGAGATGGTGCGATTTGCTATTTGAATGCCACCCATTTTCCAAATTCCCCAAGCTCTGCATTATACACTTTGTCTTGATACCACCTCTAAAATCATGTAATATTCTTTGGTTCTTTCGGTAAAGTCACGTATAAAGATAAATTAAATAATAGCATACTACGACGCTTCGATTGCAACACAAGCAATCATCATCAGGTATAAAAGAAATAGCAACAAAAATCTAACCAGAAAACTATAGACAGACATATAAGCAGACAGACATCATAAAGATACACAGAGAGAGAACACGTATCGGCACAAAGAGAGAGGTCGTCTCTGTGACGGGGCCTTAAATATAGAGAGGGGGCGAGGGCGGAGAGAGGGAGGGTGCAGAGAAAAAATTAGCATGTCAATGAGTGGACAACAACGTGGTACGGTACACGTAAGCTTGAAAATTAGGAGAAAGACACACTAAAATTAAATAACCTAGTAAAATATCGAAATGTAATGTAATGCAACACAGAGAGTCGGTCAACACACAATGAACGCATAGCCCGGTTGATTACGTATTTCAAAGATTGCTAAGTTAGAATTTAAGTGTGAAAATTCCAAAGAGAGGACACAGGCAGAGAGAGAAAACAAAAAACCAGAGAGAGAGAAAAAAGATTAGCTTAAAACTTCCCCGTAGAAGTGGTTCAATATTAATTTTGGAGCTTTAGTGACTGCAAGAATTATTCTTTGGTTCTTTCGGTAAAGTCACGTATAAAAATAAAATAATAAATTAAATAATTGCATACTACGACGTTTCGATTGCAACACAAGCAATCATCATCAGGTATAAAAGAAATAGCAACAAAAATATAACCAGAAAACTATAGACAGACATATAAGCAGACAGACATCATAAAGATACACAGAGAGAGAACACGTATCGGCACAAAGAGAGAGGTCGTCTCTGTGATGGGGCCTTAAATATAGAGAGGGGGCGGGGGCGGAGAGAGGGAGGGTGCAGAGAAAAAAAAACTCTCTGTGTTGCATTACATTACATTTCGATATTTTACTAGGTTATTTAATTTTAGTGTGTCTTTCTCCTAATTTGCAAGCTTGCGTACCGTACCACGTCGTTGTCCACTCATTGAGATGCTAATTTTTACTCTGCACCCTCCCTCTCTCCGCCCCCGCCCCCTCTCTATATTTAAGGCCCCGTCACAGAGACAACCTCGCTCTCTGTGCCGATACGTGTTCTCTCTCTGTGTATCTTTATGATGTCTGTCTGCTTATATGTCTGTCTATAGTTTTCTGGTTAGATTTTGTTGCTATTTCTTTTATACCTGATGATGATTGCTTGTGTTGCAATCGAAACGTCGTAGTATGCTATTATTTATTTTATTATTTTTTCTTTATACGCGACTTTACCGAAAGAACCAAAGAATAGCCTCACTGAATCTTGAGATCCTTTTTCAGTAGGGTCCTGAATTGAAATGTGACAAGCCCCTCCCCACCCAGCCCTACCCCTCCCACCCCCCACCCAGCCCCACCCTCCCCACCCAGCCCCTCCCCACCCTCCCCACCATCACCTCCCCACCCAGCCCCACCATCCCCACCCAGCCCCTCCCCACCCAGCCCCTCCCTGCACGACACAATAATCCCCTGTGGACTGGTGTAACCAGGAGGTTCCTACCAGTATTATTTAATTTACTATGGTGCCCTTCACTAAGTGGGGTATATAAGCATTTTGTTGCTACGCAAACTCATTTAGTAATCCCCCCCACCGCCCATTCAAAAGTCAACTCATCCTTGCCTGCATGACAGTATATGTTACTGTGCCTTGGTTTTTTTGATTTCTCTCTCAGTTTCTTGGAATTGTCAGTTTCTTGGTTTTTTCCCAAATGTTTTAGTAGGGGCCTTACTGATTTGAAATGTTTGTGGTTGATATGCAGGTATGAACGTTTTGTCATTATATGAGCACGTCACTTTTACTGAATGAACGTTGTGATGGACTAAAGATACATTCCAAGCTTTCCCATAGCACTTTTTTTATATTGTTCTGCAACAACAAATCAATTTATGCATCTATGATATAAATACATATTTCACTCTTAAAGGATATATTGTCAGCTTATTTGGAACACTTTACATGAAGTTCTAAATGTGATTAAATTAAACTTATAATGACATGCTGTGCATACAGTTAATTTGCTTATCCATTAAATGCAGTAACAGGCTGGAGAAAAAATATATAAATAACCCCTCGCTGCATTATAGTACTCTGGTTGAAAAGCGGGTGCAAATTTGGCTGTCGAAAGGTTTTGTGGGTAGCTTTGACCAATGCAACATGTGTGATGCCACGGTACCTCCAAACAACAAACCTGGCAAGAATTTGTTCGGCCCAAATACTTCCATCCACATCCACGCCATTTGGGCCGCTGTACGTGAGCTGTATAGTTCAGTTTCGTTCTGACAAACGGGGCACTACTTTTTCTTTTGCTCAATATGTTCAACGTTAATAAAAGGTATCCAAGTAAAACGTTATCCACGCATTATCCTGCAGTTAATGAGAAAAGTGTAATTTATTGGCGCACTATATTGACTGCGTATTGAGACATATAAAACTGTTGAGCTAGATTTTCAACCAATCAGCATCGAAAATGTAAGTAGGTCTGAGCCAAAATCAAGCCAATATCACTACGC